GAGTTTCAAACCAATTAAAAACTAATTCCTATTTCGTTTTTCATGGTGGAAATCGGTGTATCGTCATTCAGCTACCTTCAAATATTTTGTAGCTTGGATTACGACATCCTCTTCCAAGTTATAAAATATTGAGTTTGGTCCTAGCCTTAATATTTCATATTGGGTGATATATTAAGGACCCGAAATCAACCAACTTGAATTTCTCCCATTGTAGATGTCTGGTTCAGACAACTATGACCTTCCTAAATCTCTTGAAACAAGCTTTCCTAATGAAGATGATGTCCCGTGGTTGGATCATGGAAATGATACTTCACTTCCTCCACCCCCTCCAATTATTCTCCCTAAACCACAAGTTCAAGGTCACTCAAGCCCAATTGGCAGGCAAAGTCTATGTGTGCTTACATCTTGGAGATGAAGTCATATATAGACAGGCCGGGAGAGTTGGGTGTCAAAGTATTGAGGAAGTTGGTCATTGACTAGGTTCTTCAGTCACTTCCTAAGTCACATTGTGAGTTCCTTTGGGACTACTATATAACAGACCATAACATGACCCTTAATGATCTTATTTATTTGCTTGATGTTGTTGACTCAGCAATGATTTGAAAAGAAATTCTGATTGGAAGATCGACTTCCCAAACTTCCATGGACATTGACAATGGTAACATTGGAAATCCGTAAAGCTTTCTCTACCCAATAAAAAGGGATCGGCCATAGTCAACTCGTTTGACCAAATAGTAAAGAGAAAGGCTAATTCTGAGATAGTCCCGCGTACCATTCCCAAAGAGTCCATATGTTTCTATTTCCAAAAGAAGGGGCATTGGTTGCGAAGCTACCCTGACTACCTGAATGATTTGAGAGAAGGAAGAATCCAAAAGTTTGACTCTCCTTCAGGTAAGTCAACTATCGAACTTTATTAAGTTCCTATTTGGATATTCTTATCACATGATGTAACTAGGTTACATTTTGAAGTTTTGAAGAATCAAAGGAAGCTTAAAAGAAGAGTATGCTGAATTTGATCGCGAAGATGGATTTCAATCGCATGATTCGAAGATCGGATTTTTGAGCTGCTGCTTAGGAGTTATGATAGATTGCTAGGAAATATATAATAGCATAGTTTTCATTTAAAGTTCCATTGTAAGGAAAACATTTTTTGAGCAGCAACCCGTACACCTATTATAAACCCATTTTGGTCCTAAACCCATACCTTCATGGGTTAATACATTGCATATGATTTAGATCTAAGTTTGGGACTCCTAGACTTAAGTGGTTAAGGGCTTAATGAATAAAAAGACTTAATTGGTGAGTACGTTGAGTGTACAAGCTCATACGCGCAACGTATAAGCTATGCATCATTTATGCTTAGGGTACAGCCGAGTACACCTGACGTACTCTGGCAGTTGGGCTTGGCGTTCTTTAGGCCTCGAGTTGGGCCATTTTCTTGGACGTTGTTGCTTTGGGATTTAGTGGACCATCTGAAATCAGGTTTTTGGACAAAGTATATGTTTGGGCTTTAGGGTAAGGCCCATTAGAGGAGTTTGCGCCCAATTTGGAAAATTGGGCCATAAGAGGGCCACTAGTGGGCTTTGGAAGATTATCTAGTGATGGGCCTTTTATATTGTAGTTTTGGGCCTTAGTTATGAACCAAATTATGCCAGGGGTAAAATGGCCATTTTACCCTAAGTTGGATTATTGGATTTTGATTGGGTGTTATTTTGTACTGATAGCTTGGGGAGTCGTCATGTCAGCAACTTGGGATTTCTTTCTACGAGATTCAGCATTTGAGGTGAGTTTCCTCATTGCGTTTTGCGGGTCGGAGGCACCAATGTCGGCCCATGTTTATGCTATGCTAGTATACTATTTGTCTCTGTGACTCTGCATGTGTATGTGTTTATATGCTTGTCCGGTTATGGCCCGATGACCATTTGTATGCCATATATCTTTATGATTATTGCATGTGTATGTTATTATTTGATATATATGTAATATGTATGTTGGACGGGACCTGATCTATTTCCGAGCGGGGCCGAATGCTGGACGGGAACCCATGACAGGGTGGGGCCCGTTATATGATTATTTTATGTTTGGTATGTCATAGTTTGGGGAACTCACTAAGCGTTGTTCTTACGGTTTTAGTTTACATTTCAGGTACTTTCGGTTCCAAGGGGAAGAGCTCGGGTTGACTGCATCGCACACACCATTTGCATTCTGTTTATGGGACATACTCTGATTTTGATGATAGTTGTTATATTTATTCTATTGGGATGTATGAACAATGTTTTGGAAATCTATTTTTACTATATTCAAAAACGAAATTTTTGGGTCATAGGTTTTGGTTGTTACACTCTTGGAGGGTTATTTTTGTCAATGGAAAATTTCTTTTGTAGAAAAATTTCTTGGTGAGAAAAATATATGGATACATGAATAAACAAATACTTATTTTATATGTAGATTTTGATAAAAAAAAATAATAAGTTTTTATATTATTACTACATATGCTAATCTTTGGAAAAAATAATTAAAAAACTAGATACATTTGACTAGTACAGTAAATAAAACAAAGTTGTCTACCCCTTTACTTTTTTAATATTACGTCAGTTTATTCATTCTGACACTATCATTTTGAATTGTTCATGTTTTGCTTATTTTACCCAGTCGATATTACTTGGTTGGTTCATATGTGTTTAACAATCATTAGTTTTTTCACAAACAGAAACATGACTCAAAGCATGTCCGCTAATTGTAGCAACGCTTCGTCCTCCATCCTCTACTCTAAAAATGACGATTTCCTTCGTAAGTTTAATTTCTATGCTATTGTTGATCTCCAACAAGTATATGAGCTTTATGTACTTAACTTTTATTTATGAAAGATACATTATGTCAAATACTTTTTGGATTATTTTTACTCTCATATTTCATTTTACTTTTTTTATTATATAATTTAAACTTTCATCAATATTTCTTAGAAAAAACATTGATTATTATCGGTACGACTAAGCATGTGCGTACTGATGTGGAATGGTACTATTTGACTTGTACTAAATGTCAAGAGAAAGCCATAAAATCCGTTTTAATTCATGAGGACCAAAAACAAGATAAAGAAGTTTTTTATTGTTACACTTCAACTTACATGAACAAAGACATATATGTTGTTCAAATGTTTTCAATACTTCTTTTATACATATTATTATAATCTTCGGTTAAATTTTCTAATTTAATATGACTGGTGGTCTGGTGTTACTTATGTTATTTGATCGTAACGCAAAGAAACTTCTAGAAAAAACCGCATAACGGTTGCTTCAAAAGTTTAATGAAGTTATTAATATTATATTCATTTACATAAAACTAATCTTTACTTTTTGTCTATCTATTTTTATAAACGTTCATTTTTTTTACGAGGGTAATATGGAGATTTTTTCATCTGCTTTGAATGTACTTTTGGATAAAAAGTTGGAGTTCAAAATTCATATTTCACATGATAATTTGAAGAAAAAAGTTGATGGTTATGTAATCTCAAAATTACTGCTGATAATACAATCAATGCTAAATTGAAAAGAAAAATAACATTGATCGGGTAACATTCTTTTACGAAGAATACTATAAAGTTTACACTTATTAAATTTTGTTTTTTTTATATTTCATATGATCAACTAACATATTTCTATGTACTACAAATGTAGGCGGCAAAATCCAATTCGTTTAGTGTTTTATCGGCAGACCGTACTACTGGAGAAGGCAAACCAAAACTGTTAATTCTAAAGCAAGAATGTTTACATATTATTTGGTTGGGTGATTTGAGTACTATTTGATTTCATATATGTTTACATATTATTTGGTTTTTCGGTTTAGTTTTTGATGACTTTGTTTCATACTATATGTTTTTGGGTTAGAATTTTGATCATTTAAATACAGGTTTTATGAAATATTTACTTATTCAAACCCTCATTAGTGTACTGACATCATATATGTTTGCAAATCAACATGATATATCTTCTTAATTATTGTATTTCTTTCCCAGTGTATATATGAAATGAATGAGTATTGACATTATTAATAGTCATTATATAAAAAGATATACATATGAAATGAATGAGTTTTCTTTCATCGCACGTCTAATAATTAGCACATGAAGGACAATCATGATGCATAATATTGATTTTTTTAAGCTCAGCCCACATGTTTGCATTCAATAAGTAGAAACAAAGTTTGTTGCTCAAAACCCAAAAGCCTCTTTTATACTTCAATCATACCCCACACATTATAGTCCCCACCTCTACCCATTTATGCATTTGATTTACAAATAATTCATAATCACATTTCCAAATGTGCCATTAACTATTTTTGTTCCCTGTAAAATGTAAAAGTAAACAATTACATATGAAACATAAATGATGTAATTACACAAAGAGATAAAAGTACATTACTATTGGTTGCATCTCGGCCGATGAAGGTGAAATGCAAGATATAGCAATGCACTTCCATTTTGTTTGTGAAATATATCATTAAAATTTTATTTATAATTCTTATTTTAGAAAAAGTTATGTTTTTTTTCTTATTAAATAGTTGTATTTTCAAGCGATACATAAAGCATTTTCTTAATTGAAATTTAGGAACTTTGGATGTACAGGGTATTGGGGATCAAAAATCATATTTGATGGATACCCATTGTTTTCTTATGAAGCCTGATCCCATGATAAACTCTCATTAGTATTCTGGAATTCTGGATCATGATTCACAGTTTGAATCTCTTTTTCATCTTTAGATGAAGAATCCCTGCTCAAGTTAACAGAATTAGCTTTAGATAAAACTTCTACTTTGTTATTTTGTTATAAATTTCATATTCTCTGTTGACATCTAGGAATTTCTCCTTATGGGAGAGTAGGTTCTCAAGCCTTTATCAAATCATTAGGTTTATGCTTTTATGTTATTGTTATTAGATTTAAGGGGTAAAATCAGTTGTTTGTAATACTTCATAATTTTGTAGGTTGGTAACAAATTATTCAATGGATAAATCATGGATTTCCTCGAATAGATTAACAAATGCATATGACGAAGGTGTGGAGGATTTTTTAACCTTTGCACAAAATAATAATGTAAAATCAGATGTAATTCCGTGTCCTTGCATAAATTGTATCAATTTGTGCTATCACTCAATTCCGACTGTGCGTTATCATTTGTTTTCCAATGGATTTGATGAAGGATATAAAGTTTGGACTTTCCATGGGGAAAATCCCGAAAGAGGCCCTAATAAATTTGTTCTTCCCGACTTTGATCATACAAAAGATATGGTAGATGATGCCTTCTTCACAGATGTAGAAGAAGAACCCGATTCATTGAAAACACTTGTTGAAGAATGTGAGAAGCCACTTTATGAAGGGTCAAAGTATAGTGCACTTAGTGGAATATTGAAATTCCAATATTTGAAGGGTCAGTTTGGTTGGTCGGACGCTAGTTTTGATGCTTTGTTGTGTATCAATTTCATACAACATCTCAAGATAAGTCTAGAACAACTCAATGTAGTGGGGTATCTTTAGTTGCACATGCTATGCAAATTGCTAGTGCAAAAGACACCAATCCTGTGTATGGAGATGTTACTTACTATGGTCGCATAAAAGAGATATGGGATCTTGATTATCGCATGTTTAAGATTCCTGTTTTCATCATGTGCGATTGGGTTGATAGTCGTGGAATTAGAAAGGATTCATTTGGATTCACATTGGTCAACTTAGATAGGATTGGTCACCAGTCTGAACGCTTCATTTTGGCTAGTCAAGCGAAGCAAGTTTTTTATGTACAAGATCAACAAGATAAAAATTTGTCTATTGTTGGCTTCACGCCACATAGGATGTATAAGTATGGAGCTAATAATGAAAATGATGATATCTTAGAATTCGATGCTACACAAGATTCCTCTTTATTAGACATTGACGAATATTTTCTGTGTACACGGCCCGATGGCGCGGGCATTTTAGTTTGAATTATTTTGTAAAAAATAATAACACCAATTTCTGGTATGTTTCTATTTCACTTTTTGATTGTGTGATTATTTGTCTTGTATATATTCATTATTTAGTTGTAACTAATTGTTATTTAATCATGTTTAAACAGATTGTTTTTGGTGAACATGGAAGACAAACATTCAGATTTGTCTTCAAATAATGAGTCTTCAAATAATGATGAGCCCTCTAAATCATCAAGAGGTCCTACAATAAAATCAAAATCTAATAAAGGAAAAGTTTTTATTACTTACAATAAAAAAGGTGTACCTATTGGAGAGGAAGCAAAGAAATTAGCTACTTTTGAGGGGATGGTGGCAAGAACAATGGTGCCTATAACTTATGAGACTTGGCGTCATGTTACCGAAGAAACAAAGGAAGATATATGGCAATATGTTTTGGTGAGTTTAAAAAAAGAAAAAATTTGTTAGTATTTTATGGGATAATACTGTTAACTTTTTTATGTTTATGTTTCAGATGAGCTTTGTAGTCGACTTAAAGAGTCGGAAGAATACTCTCAAATCGATTGGGTCGAAGTGGAGAAATTTCAAACATTATTTGTTCAAGAATTTTATAAAGCAACATAAAAATGACCCAAAGGCAAAATTACTTGATTCTCCAGAGATGTATCCATTCTTGAAGAAAGCTGACTGGAAACTATTTGTTGCACAAAGACTTTCAAAGAAATGGCAGGTTTGTTAAAATGTTGTAACACAATCAATACAATCAATTTTAAAGTTCAAACTTAATCATTTTAATGTTTTTAATGAAGGAAAAAAGTGATGGTGGTAAGAAAATCTGTGCACATAATAAATATAATCACCGTTTGAGCAGAAAAGGATATGCCGGGCTCACTGTTGAGATTGTATGTAAAGTTAATTGAGTAATTTATTTGTTTATTTCTTTTATGTTTACATTAATAGGAAAAGATTTAATTCACTTTTGTTTTTCTTTATTTTTTAGATGAAAGAAACGGGAAAGTCGGAAGAGGAAATTGATAGATCTTTGTTATGGAAGAGGGCAAGACAAACGAAAAAAGGAGGTTATGACTCAAATGTGCAAATTATTGTTGATAAAATTGTAAGATACATAATTTTTTTTTTATTACATAAGTGTTTTATAAGTTTCCTTTACCATAAATAAGTAGAAAGTAAGCTGCCATTTATTGTATTTATGCCTTTTTGTGGTTAAAATGCAAGAAATAGCAACATACTTTAGTTGATTCGACTTAGGAAAAAAATACATAATTTTATTTTTTATTACAAAAGTGTTTTATTGTCCCAAATGCAGGAAATAGCAATGTATTTTGCTATTTCTTGCATTTAAGTTTCCTTTACCATTAATAAGTAGAAAGTAAGATGTCGTTTCTTGCATTTAGGATTTTTTATGGTTAAAATGCAAGAAATAACAACATACATTAATTTAAAGTTCTTTTTACTCATTTTTTTCATTTTAACCTTCTAACATGTACAGGATAAGCTGCAAAATTCTGAAGATTATGGAGAGGTTATATTTGGAACAAATGATGTGTTGACGCAGGCGCTTGGTACTGAGGAACACCGTGGGTTTGTACGTGGGATGGGTAAATATGTAACCCCACACCAATATTTTTATTTACCAAAGACTGAAGAATTATATGGATAATGAGAAGAAGAATCTTAATCAACGATTTGAGACACTTGAAAGCGAGGTGCAAACACTTAAAAGAGACCGTGTGAACAATGTTTCAGAAGGTGCCAGTTGTGTGAACAATGAAAATTTTCAAGACGATCCTGTTGAAGATTTACTTGTAAGTATTCCTAACAATCAAATTCCCACTTTTAATCACTTTAATTATTTCAATATTCTTGTTCTATTTATGTCGAAAAATTAAACTAAAATTGTATATTTGTAGTATAATTCTTGTTATCTTGCTGTTGATACTGCGTCAAACATTGTTGCAAAAGGAACGATAACAAACATATCGGGTATTACTAAAATATTTTTCTTATATTTACATTTTGTTGGAAAATTGGATCTTATGTTTACATTTGTATAAACAGGTGAAACTTTTGAAGTTTTAATGGACAGATTTTTAAATGGAGAAGCGTGGCTACCTATTCCAGTTGAAGAAGAATTCATTGTGAAGGTGAAAGATGCAGTGGGGCACATACTGAGTTGGCCACAACATTTGGTCATCCGATGCAGTGATTTGGTAATAATTTTTAAAGTTTTAATTTTTTCTACCAATATGGGTCTAACTTTAAAATTGCGGGTTTGTAGGAAAAAGTGGCAGCAAAACCTTTAAATGGAGTAGATAATGAAGTTAAGAAATATGAGAAGAGAGTAAAGAAGTGCCCACAACAAGAAAAGGATAAATATAAGCAAGAAACACCGCCAAAACCTTTAAAAGGAGAAGAAAAGAAAGTTAGGAAAGAAGAGAAGAAAGTAAAGAAGCGCCAAAGAGAAGAAAATGAGAAAAATAAGCAAGAACCACCACCAATACCTTTAAAAGGAGAAGAAAGGGATGTTAAAAAAGTGGAGAAGAAAGTAAAGAAGTGCCAAAAACAAGAAAAGGAGAAAAATAAGCAATTCGATACCCCAAGGATGAGAACTAGAGGGCAAAAAAAAGAAAGGACAAGAATTGAAACTAGTCAGGTTTTGAAATTGACTTCACGTATAGTTGACAAACTTTATATCCTTCATCAAATCCATTGGAAAACAAATGATAACGCACAGTCGGAATTGAGTGATAGCACAAATTGATACAATTTATGCAAGGACACGGAATTACATCTGATTTTACATTATTATTTTGTGCAAAGGTTAAAAAATCCTCCACACCTTCGTCATATGCATTTGTTAATCTATTCGAGGAAATCCATGATTTATCCATTGAATAATTTGTTACCAACCTACAAAATTATGAAGTATTACAAACAACTGATTTTACCCCTTAAATCTAATAACAATAACATAAAAGCATAAACCTAATGATTTGATAAAGGCTTGAGAACCTACTCTCCCATAAGGAGAAATTCCTAGACGTCAACAGAGAATATGAAATTTATAACAAAATAACAAAGTAGAAGTTTTATCTAAAGCTAATTCTGTTAACTTGAGCAGGGATTCTTCATCTAAAGATGAAAAAGAGATTCAAACTGTGAATCATGATCCAGAATTCCAGAATACTAATGAGAGTTTATCATGGGATTAGGCTTCATAAGAAAACAATGGGTATCCATCAAATATGATTTTTGATCCCCAATACTCTGGTTGGTATTATGACATGAACACTCAATAATGGTACTCTTTGGAGGCATATAATTCTCAAGAACAGGACCAGGTCAACCAAAATGGGTATTCTGCAACTAGTACTTATTATGGAAGTGATCAGAAAGCATATGGTGGGCAGGATCAGATAAATAAGCAGTTACAGGTAGGTTCTGAAGGACAAAATTACAGTGTGTAGTAAATAAGACAAATGGTAACAAATGAAATGTTCAGCAAACCAGATGGAGTTTTATAAACAAATGAGAACATGCAATTATTATGTTTTCATAGTAAAAATGACAGAATGCTTGAAACCATTTAGTTAAAAATGAGAACATGCTTGGGGTATCGAATTGCTTATTCAAAACCTGACTAGTTTCAATTCTATTCCCCAATTGTGAATGAGTAGCAATGATTACAATGTGAGTTAATAGTGGTCTTTAGGCTATATTTGTTATAATACAACTTTAGGGGTTTGTTTTAGAACACTTTGAAAAACAAAATCTGTGTTCCAATGGTAAATGATCTACAAGCTATCCACAAAAATCCAATGTGAAGACGGTTTGTTTGATGGGTCTGAGTGCTACACCTATATAACTTGGGATGATTTTGAAATAGTGTTTACAATGGATAAGTTGAACGGTGTTATAATAAATAGTTATATGATGTAAGTGCTCATTTTATTTTATTTTGTGTATTTAAAAAATTTACTAAACTTTTGTATCATTTGTATTTTTTGTATATTAACAGGTACTTGTATGAAGAAATCAAGAATGGAGGAAAAACAGATCATGGAATCTGTTTTGTGAGCCCGAGTGCGATCTCTAAAGACGGGCGTACGAACAACTTCAAGAAAAGTGATGAAGCAAGTGAAGTCATAGCATGTCGGCTGTCCACAAGAAAGGACAACAATATCATCTTAATGTCATACAATCCCGGGTATGATGTTATAACATGAATGACATAATAGTATGATGTTATAACATTAATCTACTATGGATTAAATAGCAACATACTTTAGTTTATTCGATTTTGGAAAAGAAAGACAATTTACTTTTTTTATTACACTAGTCCTTTCTGTCCCAAGTGCAAGAAATAGCAATGTACTTCATTGTTTCTTATATTTAAGCTTCCTTTACCATTAATAAGTAGAAGTAAGTTGTTATTTCATGCATTTAGGTATTTTTTGTTAAATTACAAGAAATAGCAGCAAACTTTAACTGATTTGACTTGACAAAAAACATAACTTACTTGTTTTTATTACATAAGTTCTTTTATGTCCCCAAGTGCATGAAATAGCAATGTACTTTGTTATTTCTTGCATTTAAGTTTCCTTTACCATAAGTAAGTAGAAAGTAAGCTGTCATTTCTTGTATTTAGGCTTCCTTTTACCATAATGTGCTTTATACTTTCTTGCATTTAAACTTCTTTCACAATTATTGTCCTAATTTTATTTGGTTTTTGGGTTTACAGTGGTCATTGGGTGCTAGCAGTACTAGACATGCAAACAACAACATGATATTACCTTAATTCGCTAAGGTGCCTTGTTGTTGATCCAGACTTAAAGCAGATGATTGAAGCGTAAGTAATACAAATTATTGAAACATTAAATTGTTTTCTTTGATATATTTCATCCAATTTTTTTTTGTAGAGCATTGTCTTTGCACACAAGACAAAGTGGATCAAAGAAAAAGGTTAAAGCCAGCTGGATAAATGTTATGGTTAGCACAAACTGCAACTTTAATTTCGATTGGATTTGACTAATATATTATTGTTTTTTACTAATCAATTAATTATATAATTGTACAGTGTCCCTTTCAGCCTGGTTACACAGAATGCGGGTATTATGTTCTTAAGTTCATGAAAGAGGTTGTTGATGAAGGACTTGAAGTGTTGAATAACAATGTAAGTAAATCTATTAGTTACTTGATGGACTTGAAGTGTTGTAGAATATTTACATATATAATTATTTAATAGATTTTTGCTAATATATTAGTTTTTGTCTCAGTTTTGGGGGAAGAATGAATATACATACGTCGAGCTTGATAGGGTGCGTGAAGAATGGGCTACTTATGTCATAAATTTTCTTTACTAGTGATGAATTTGACAATTACTTTTTGATGAATTTGGACCGTATTTTTGAATTTGACACTATAATTCGTGTAAGCCTTTTAATATATGTATGATGTTTTATTTTATGTTATTAGACATTAAATATGTAATTTAGTTTGGTTAAGATTGGGTATATATATATATATATATATATATATAATCATGACATACAAAGCATGTCGTAAAAATATGTCAAAAATCGTATTGTACAAAACATATGTCGTAATTTGAAGTCGTAAATGTCTGTCATAAATACAAAAATGTTACGAATTATGACAAACAAAGTCAGTCGTAAATGTATGTCGAAAATGCATGTCGTGTATGTATGTCGTAATTGTTGGTCATAAAAGTCTGTCGTAAATTTTATGACAGACCTAATGTCTGTCATTTTCTTTTCTTTTATGACATGGCTTTCAATGACAGACATTTGTCTGTCATGTATAGGCGTTTATGACAGACATTGTCTGTCAAGGAAAGCCTTTTTTCTAGTAGTGTATAATGGTTGTATATCCATGTGAGGTTCTTTGTAATATTACTAATTATGATCACTGGCAAATTAAGAGGTACATCATCTACAAATCCAAGCCCCTCCTCCAGAAAAAATTGAGATGTCAGCACACAGCAGAAATTCAATCCTCTAAACGTGTTAGGAGATGATGGGCTTGTAAACGATATTGATGGCCCACTGCTTCTCTCCGTAATCCAATTCGGCATCTCTTCACCTCCATAAATAGTGCTGAATATTCCAAATTCATAATACACCTGCCAAACACCACCACCTTCATTAGATCACCATATTATATATATAATATCCACAAAAAGACATACTTAACAAGAGCAAACCTGGATTTCAGATTCCTTTGGTCCAGAAAACCAAACATCAGTTCGCACACGCCTTTCATTAAGGAAGTCTAGCTTAGTCCAGCCCAAAATATGTAATAACTTTTCATCAATACCAGCCATTGGTTGGATTTTGATCAAGCCTTCAAATTCAAACGACGAAGTTGCAAACATCTTCCAGTCTACTGACAACTCGAGCGGGGACATGTCAGGATCAAACACAAGTTTTTGTAGCAAAGGCTTATTAGAATTAGAATGAAGGTCCAAGTATGTTAGTGTATGTTTCAGGAATGATAGGGGAAAAGGTTACTATGCTTTTTTCAGGGGAATCAAAATCCTTCACCTGGATTCGAGATTCACTGAGATTACAACCCTCTATCAATAGTGTTTTAACTTTCTTTAACATGCCTATGATTCTTGGAAGATTTTCAAGCTTGTTGCAGTAGCTCAGATCAAAATGGACAAGTTCAACACATTGCTCAATTGATTCACAAACATCAAGCAAACCAATGCAGTCTATAAGTATCAACCTCTCAAGTGCAGGGAGTTGGTCAAAGCCACCCAGACTATGAAGTTGTTGACAAAAACTTAAATTTAGAATCTTCAATGATCGAGGCAACCTTTTGTCTTCTAAGCAGAATCCAGTTAACAGCTGATATGGAGATAACTTAGAATGGTAGTGAATTTTATCAAGTGAACATGGAAAAATAATAAATTGAGATAAATTACCTTTTGCCTCTTTTGAAGTCGTTGTGGATTACTATAACAAATTCCAAATGATTCAATATTGCTATATGACATATCAAGAGCAACCAGATTATCCATCGGCAAGTCCAAAGGTATAGACTTTAAAGTGAGCCCATGCATACACAACCATCTTAGTTCTTCTGAAAAATTCTCATAAGGCCCAGTAGTTTGCACATAATTGAGTCGTAGTAGCATCAGATTGTCCATGTTAATTAATGCATCTGTTTTTAGCTCAAATGTTGCATGCAACTTCTTTTTCTCAAGCATTCGCATATCAAGGACAAGGCCTAGAACATTTTCTGTACCCTATGAAGAGATATAAACACAAAAAAAATAAAAATAAGTATATAGACAATACAAAATACTTTGAAAATAAATATTGGTTATGCATGTTATTAAGGGATAATGAAAGGCAAGAAATAGCAAAATACTTTCATTTATTTGTGTATTATAGCATCCTACTTGAACTTAATTCGTTTACAACATTGTACTTTCAATTTCTTTTTTCTTTTTAAGCCATTGTACTTTGAATAATATACCCAATTATAGTATTGTGTTCTCAAATTTTTATTAGTATACTATATACAAATTTTTACTAGTATATTATATACTAATAAATCTATACAATTTAGCAGTGAAAAATGTTTTGTATTTGAATGAAATTGTCATAACAAGGTACATTTTTCAAAGTATAATGTTGTAATAGGAAGAGATGGAAGTAGAAATCAACAAATCAAAGGAAGTAAGATGATATTTCTTGCATTTAATCCTATTACTAATGAGTATACATGGCCTCTTACCTTATTTTGTTTCAACACTTTAAATGACTCTTCATGACACCATAATCGACTTCGCTTCCATGGCTTGTGAGGTGATTCTTGATGTACTATGAATCTTCCCATATTTTGAAGCAATTGATGCATCATCAATTCGTTATTCGATCCGATACTAAAAAGGCATCTGTCAACAAGATTTGTGATCCCAGATCTTATGTTTATATTACATGCCTCCAATATGGTTTCAGTAACATCTCTATCTTTTCCAACAAAAAAGCAAGCAATATGCTTAAACAAATCCTTATCATTTTTTGATGGCAAAGAATTGCAGCTCATTCTCAAAACATTATCTATAGGAGAACCGGGTTCTTTCGTTAGTTGTTTTATCCAATCTTCCCAGTATGCTACATCTCGATTATGTAAAGACTTGCCCAAAACTTCAAGAGCCATTGGATGTCCTTCACAATACTTCACAAAGTTTCCTGTCACCTCTTCATAATTTGCCTTGGGTGTGTAGGACATGAATGCATGAAAACACAATAGTTCTCGTGATGCAGTTTCATCTAAGACTTGAAGAAAGTGTTTTGCATGATTGGGTTTAACGTTTGTTTTAAATTGTGCACAGCTCTCTGTCAACCATGCGTCTTTTGTTGTTATTATAACTTTGCTTACCGGATGAAAACCTTTGCTCCCAAGTAATGAATCCAACTGATGGAGACTATCTACATCATCAAGAACCAGGAACACTTTTTTACGAGTTACTACATTCTCTATCTTTGAGGTGTATATAGAAACCTCATGAACTTTGATTGACCGTGTCTTTGAAATATCATCAATGAGTTGTTTTTGTAACTCAAGCAACCCACTAAATTTTTCATCACATCTCCTACTGATATTTCCAATAAAGCTGCTTGTTTCGAATTCACGACAATGTAATCCATAGACATATTTGGCTAAAGATGTCTTCCCGATCCCGCCCATACCCAAGATAGTGAGTATGTCTGTCGTATGCAATGATGCATCGTTCAACCATGAAGTGACAAATGTAATCTATGGTAGATGTCCTGGACAATTTCTTCAATGAATTCCATCTCTAGCCTGAAACTTGATTTCAATAATAAGTACAACACAATCCACAAAACTAGTCTAGATCTGAAAATTTAATTTATCCAAAGACCCAACTCAAAATTATATCATATTAAGCTATTACTTTAATTAAGTTTTTCACATAAAACATATATCATATTTTCACTTCTAAGTTCCGACCATCTAAGCATCTAATGTGCATGGTTATAATTTTCATATAATAAGACCAAAGGACCACCACTGTAATACAAGATTTCACTAATGGGAAACTAGGTTTCATTATGTTTCTACAATGCCATGTGTTGATCAAACAAAATTGAAAGTTGAAGATATGGGTAAGATAGTGGTTACCTGCCGGTTACGTCCTTCCCTTTCAAATCAGCAACTTCTTAAGTGCTTTATTCCATCGATCAATCTTTTGATCCCATTGACTTCTTTTATTTTCATTTGTCTCCACCTCCATCATCCGTCTATGCTTAGCCATTGCATCTCCAAAGCTACTTTGTTGGTTCCTGACATGGGTCGGCTCAACGTGATAAAATACGGGGATGACAATTTGGTTGGATTTCACACGTTGCTTAAGGATCAGAACTAATTCATCAAGGCACCATGACGAACTAGCATAATTCTTGGACAAAACAATAACAGAAGCCCTAGATGCTTTAATAGCACTCTCCAATTCTGGTTTCAGATCTTCCCCTGTTTCAATCTCTTCATCATCCAAGAAGGTACTGATATTGGCATCCACAAGAGCCTTATGAAGGTAAGCAGTGAAACTATTACGAGTGTCGAGACCTCTGAAACTTAAAAACACGTCGTATCTATGACCATGAGTTGATGAAGATGAAGATGCTTCTGAAAGTTCAGCTAGAACAACCATTATGAGTTATGTGATGATGACCCTTCACCCTTGCCCAATTTTGTGTATATATGGTTTCTCCTTATATGTTGGTGTATCCCAATAAGCTCAGAAACTCAGTTTCCTCCGGACATCATCAGTTATGAATGTTGGTTTCACAGGTTTGTGTCTTCATTTTACAAAACTAAATGCACATCTAGAAGAAGCAAAGTTCAGTTGTCCCATGTTTTCCCTTCTGGAACCTTATGAGGTGCGAGAAAAGATCAAACAAAATCTACCCATGAGCCAAGCATACTCACTCAAGCAGATATAAATGCTGCAAATTAGACTGCAATTAAAAGAAACCCCCTGTTATTTTGTAGCCAAAAGAAAATCTAATCCAGTTTATTTCCAAATAAACTGGAGCACAAATTAAGTGATTTATGATTTAAACTTTAGCACTAGCAATATCCCAATTTAAAGAAACAACCTTTTAATTTTTCGCTAAAAAACCTAATCTAGTTTATTTCCAAATAAACTGACCACCAATTAAGTGATTTATGATTTAAACACTGCAATAGCAATATCCCATCTTAAAAAAATCCCCTGTTAATTTGTAGCTAAAAAAACCTAATCCGGTTTATTTCCAAATAAACTGAGCGCTAATTAAGTGATTTATGAATTAAACTTCGGACTAACAAAATCCTAATATTGTTTCAAGAAATATAACATCCGAAACAACATGGCAATAACAAAACTTCTTACAATCTGGTTTAGTCAGCAAGTTTTGCACAATGGAATAGAGCTTATACAGAACTGAACAAAAAGTAAGTGTTAGAAATAATCATGTTAATAAATTGGAAAATATAAAAGAAATAATCAAGAACTTTTTACAATATGCACAAAGTTTTGTTAGAAATTCTCGATATCCTAATTGACATACAGAACTGAACAAAAAGTAATTGAAATAAACGAAATTTCAATCATCTGATGATGAACGAACAAATGATTATGATATGATTGATGATCGATAAGATAAGACTGACAGCTTATTAAACTACCTTGGAATAATGTTCCTTAATGATTACCTGTCTACGGAACGACAACGAGACCTGAAGCAGCATGATATAGCGCACCAACGGCGAAGAGAGCGAACGGCGGTAAGTCGTCAGGTAAACGGCCAGTCAACGAAGAAGGAAGGGAGAGGGCGACAGAGGAGAGACGAGAATGTGGACTTTTCTTTCATTTTTCTAAGTAATTTAAATGTTAACAAAAGTAGACGAATTCAGACAGCAACGAGAACTATTATGCTCTTGGTACTTGTGTTTTCATTTATTGTTTATTTGATCCTTCTAATTTGTAAAAATGACATTTATGTGAACTTTAATTTATTTTAGACTTTTTATGAGTTATTTTTTTTAATTAAAAAAAATGTTGTCCCTAACTACAATTTTCTTCAAAACATACGCATAATAAAGATATGATTTTCTTGTGTAATTTCTTCAAAACATACACACAATAAAGATATGATTTTCTTCTCTAAAAATACCGACATATGAACTTTTGTCTCTAAAAAACCCTAAAACCTTTTCTTATCATTAATGATGAAAATTTTAGGATGTGTTTAGTTGTGGAAAATTTTCTAAAAAAAACGGAAATTTTGAAAATACGTTTGGGTCGATCAGTTTTTTAAGAAATGAAAATTTTTATTTTTCCAAATTGTATGTAAATTAGAAAATTGATTTTTATAGTTTTTCAAAGTTTTCAAAATTTCTAAGATGAAAAATGAAAACTCCACCGGTTCTAACCAAACGTGTTTTTTAAGGTTTCCAATGAAAACTGTTGGGTCAAAATATTGGTTTATACTTTGCTTTTCTATGAAAATGTATTTTTGTGTCTTGGACCGTAAACAGCTTGGTGTTTACGGCCATAAACCCATTTACGGCCCATGTTCCCCAAGTATATATATATATATATATATATATATATATATATATATATATATATATATATATATATATATATAGGTGGTAGGGGTGAGGAGTGGTGAATAGTTGAGAGGAGCTTAAGTGTGTATTTTAAGGTGTGAGAGAATATAGAGAGAAGAGCTAGTGTGTGTGAACTATGTGTATGGAGCATCATTCTATTCATTGAATACATCATAGATTCATCATCTTCTTCTCCTCCTTCTTCTTCTTTTGATCTGGCATCATCCGTTTGATTGAGATTCCGCACCATCAAACGGATCTGATTGATACACAAGCAGATCAGGGACTTACAATTGGTATCAGAGCAATGTTGCATCAATCATTTTGTCAGATCTGGAGCTTATTTGATCTTATTTTTGAAGGATTCCTGCGTTTCTGGATAGATCTCTGAAAATTAGGGGGGGTTTGTTCTTCGTGTTTTTCATAAAAATGAGTTTTTGATCGAGTTTTGGAGCAAAAATTGTGAAAAACGTCGTTTTTTTCGCGATCTGAAGCAGTGTTTATGGTCGTTGGAGTTTACGGACCGTTTACGGCCGGCGGTTGCGGCTCGGAAGTTTACGGTCGGCGGTTTGCGGCCGGCGGTTTACGACGGCGGTTGCGGCTCGGACGTTTGCGGCGGGAGTTTACGGCTCAGCAGTTTGCGGCTCGGTCTCGCACGTGTACGGTCAGAGTTTGCGGCCTCGCACCTTGCACCTCGCTCGTTCAACAGTCTCGTTCGGCAAGCTTCGCAGCAGTCTTCGCAAGCAGCATCCTCGAACAACAGCGTCACATTAAAAATTGGAAACAGACTTGGGGGTGCCGGGGATCGAACTCGGGCCTCCTCCCAAACTTACCCAGCGCCTTAACCAACTCCAATAGCTAGTTGGATGATAAATCCCTTCGTTTTTTAATTCAAAAGGCGTTCTTCTCTCGGTTCCAGTTTCGCATTTTTTACATTTTGAGCCCAAAACCAATTTTCTTTTCTTTTTAAATTACATTTTCAACCCAAAATTTTAGATTTTAATTTTTGACTTTTAATTTTGACTTTTAATTTTGACTTTTTACTTAAAGTTTTGACTTTGACTTTCGAGTTTGACCTTTGACTTTAAACTTTGACTTTCTCGTTTAACCTTCAAAATTTTTAAATTTAGCTTTTCGGTTTGACTTTTAAGTTTGACTTTTTAAGTTTGACTTTTTAAGTTTGACTTTTTAAATTTGACTTTTAAGGTTGACTTTTGAGTTTTTAGTCAAAGGGAATATTTAAAAAAAAAACAATGAGTTCTTCAAACACCAAAGTCAATGAATTTTCTTGTTCTCAAACATGCATTGATAATGTCAAAAATTTACTTGAGCATATAGAATTATTATGTAGAAAAGTCGAGGACCTAAAATACGAAGGATATCAACTTAGGAAAGGACAGAAACCCCTGAAGGCTGAATTATAAGCAAAAACCAAAGATTTTTGAAAACTTCAGGAGGAGTATAGTATTAAGAGTACACATTATAGATATGTAACTGAACAACTTGTTGAGGTAACTGCTGAGCTTGACACATTGAAAAACAAATTTGAAAATGCAGATTTTACTTTTAGAAAATTTGATGTGTCAAGTGAAGTAGTTGCATCAATGATAGAAACCAATTTGAAATTCAAAGAGAATCAGTCCAAGGGTTTAGGATAAGACAAAGTACCTCCTCCTTTTAATCATACTTATACTAATAACCCATTGACAGAAGAGGAAATTGACAGAGAGCCATTTATGAAATATGGATTTGTGTCAGGATGTATTATTAATGTTGAAAATACTAATGTTTCTACTTCCAATGCAGATCAATCCTTAAGTCAATCAAAGCAAGTTGCTGAAGAGATTGTGTCTGATAATGAAATTGTATCAAAGTCTGATGAATTAAATTTTTTCGATATATTTGATGATATCTTTGATAATTCTGATGTGGTTGTGCCAGAAAGTGTTCAGCTGAACGATTCTAGTGCTTCTACTTCTTGTGCAGGTAAAGTAGTAGAAGATGAGAACAAGGAGAAAACTATTGAACAAACCAATGTCTCCTTGAACTCTGAATCTGTTGCATCGAACTCAGTTGCTTCTGATCAACCTGTCGTTGAGAAGTACAGGCCACCAAACCAAGTGAAACAGCCGACTTGCTACAAGTGTGCTTGTGGGAACAATCAGAGACGAGGCAAGGACACGCCACCAGGGGCAGGAAGAAACAATTTCCCATTGAAGAAAAAGACATGTTTTCACTGTGGAACACCTGGACACATTGCCAAAAATTGTCCAAATCGCGCATACGTTCCTTACTACGCACAAGGGTGGCAGAACGCGCCAAGAGGGAGATTTTCCAAAAGAACCCCCTCAAGGTCACGTTCAAACAATGGTGACTAGAATGCGCAGAAGGCCAAGAATCAAAATCCCAAACTCAAGAAGGGTATGCCGGCCAGGAAGCCAAATCCAAGAGATGCTCAAATGAAGCCAAGACCGGTTAGGTCAAAGCCATCTAGGCAACCGGCTTCAAGTTCAAAATCAAGTGTCGAGGCACCCATCGGATCGAAAAAGAAATGGGTTAAACCCAACTACAAATGGGTACCGAAGTTTCACTCTCCCAAATCTTCTAATGATTCTAATATGTCTACATCTTCTGTTTGCGATAAACATGATATGTCTTGGGAGGGAGTATCGTGCGTTAATGATAAAGGTCAACCCAGTTTCAAAATGGACTGAGTTCCAAAGACCAACTGATCCCGCTCTGTGTCGGAGCAGGTATGGAGGTATATCATTGGACTTCGTTTTGTTGATAGTGGCTACTCTTGGCACATGATTGGAGGCATCTCTCAAATGTACAACACTCAGAACATTGTTTGAGAGTATGTGTACTTTGCGGGAAAGGAAGAAAGGAAGGGATCACTCATGGGGTCAATGCTTAATGACATGAAGAATTTTCGGATATGTTCTGAGATTATGCGTGCTGTTCTCAGACCTTCTGGATGCAAATTCAATTGGTGAGTTACATTTTGATTTTTCTTCTCGATACTCCTGGGTTTATCTTATATTGATTCATTTCAAAGACAAATTTCTTTAATTTCCTTATATGTCTTTCTTTAGTAGGTATTGTTTAGGAAGTGATATGAAGTCTAGTGTTAAAGGGCAATATGCAATGCGTGTAATGCACTTAAGTCGAATTGTCTAGACTCTGTATTCAATGTGCTGGTAGGCACAAAGGATTCAAAAGGACTGGAAATTGATTACCCATGAAAGGACTAGACAATATAGACTTAGATAGTTTCATTTGGACTGACCATACAACGCTCGGGTAGATTGAGCAGTGAGATAAACATGGGAGCCTGCGAGATACACTAAAAGTTAATTATCTAGAACTGTGGCTGAACATTTCCTTGATGCATGGACTCATATCCTTAATTCCGGTATTGATAGGGCAACTGGGAGGTTCTGATAAAGTAGGTATGTAGGAAATTATTTTCTTGCTTTCTATCTGTCAGTCATATGTTGCTTCCTCTGTGTGATTGGAAGAGATCCGACCTGGATTGCAACATATACAACTCTATCTCTATGGATTTCCATATCTATGAAATTCTTTCTATCTGTTAGCCATATGTTGTTCCCTCTGCGTGATCTGAAGATCCGACCTGGGACACAACATATGCAACATTCTACCTCTTAATCCCTCTAACCTAATTAGCCATATGTTGTCTCCTCTGCGTGATTGAAATAAATCCGACCTGGGACACAACATATGCTTCTATTTATAACATCCCAAAATTCAAGTCCAAAAATTTCATTTTTAGTTCATTAGTTCATAAAAGATACACTAGAAAATATTGTATCAACACGTCATCTCATAAAATCAAATATCATGTTCGAAGCCCACAACATAAACAATTATCATATCAGAGTACAATCCCAGAAACACAGTGCGGAAAATCAAATGTGTGTGTGATGCCATGCTACGCCGCCGGATCCTTCCCCTTAGACGAAGAGGTACCTGAAACCAAAAACAGAAACCGTAAGCACAAAGCTTAGTGAGTTCCCCCATCATACCACATACCATACAATATCATCGATATCTTTCAACCGGTAACCATTCATCGGTATCTTTCAACCGGTAACCATTCATCGGTATCTTTCAACTGGTAACCATTCGTCGGTATCTTTCAACCGGTAACCGGGGACTATTCCACCCCTACCACTAGCATACAATACAAGATATAAGCATATAGTCAGGC